TGTCGAGGGTTCATCGAAACAAATAAAATGTTGCAGCCCCTTCTTGTATTCCCGCAGCAATGCATGCAGGCTGTGGATCGTGGTGTATGTACACTGCAAGTAGTCTCTGGGGTGTATCTGCACCTCGCTTTATAAACAAGCATCAAACCAGGCCATATATATATTCTATATCTTCTCCCCGTGCAGGCAAAGTACAGTGTAAGTGTGTGCATGCATGCAGCATACACAGCTGCAACATAATATTTTTTATAAATTTTTATCATCTAGAAAGCTACGCGGCGCCATACGGCCTCCACAAACCAGAAAACCCTCGAGTCTTCACACTGCTTTCCTCCTGTGAGGGTTTAGGGTTTAGGGTTTAGGGTTTGTGTGGTGTATGTGCGTGTAGCGGTGTATAGAAGGCGTTGTCTATGGCTAGTTAAATATAAAGAAATATTTTTATGTTATAATAAAAATAATTTTATTAATTTAATTATTATTCTTGCATGCATGCAAAGAGCATCACCAGGTGTCTGTACACCTCAACTTGCTGCTGCACGGCAACATAAACAACAAAACACCACCAGAAAGAAAAGAAGAGAAATAATAATAAATATAATTATTATAATAAATATAATTATAATTACAATAATTATTATAATAAAAATAAAAAAAAAGAAGAGAGACAAATAACGCAGAAGTTGTTGCATGCAGCAGCAAAAAAAAGAAAAAGAAAAAGAGACAGAAAAAAGAAACAAAGACAGATAAAGAGAATACAACAACAAATAAAAAAGAAAAAGAAAAAAAAAACAACAACAAAGAGGCTCAAGGAGAGGAGAGAAGGAGAGCTGCATAGCAGCAACAGCAGCAGCAGTTAGCAGCAGCAGCAACAGCAGCAGCAGCAGCACAGCAACAGCAGCAGCAGCAGCAGCAACAGCAGCAGCAGCAGGAAGCAAGAGGAGACACTGCATTTATCTGTCTCTTTAAATCGTTTCTTTATTAGGGCGAGAAGGAGACAAAGAAAACAAAAAAGAGAAAAAAAGGAGACAAAGAAAAACAAAAACAAAAAGAAATATAAAATAAAAAGACAACGTATAAACTGCATGCATCCTCCTAGCTGTACATACACCTCAACCCTCAGGAAGATATGCA